CAATAATTAGGATGCATTAAATGAATATAAACAAATTGACGCTAAATGAGGTCAATGTTAATAACCTCGGGATTTACAATTTTAGTTACGAAATATGAAATACTTTGAACCCATAACAAAATAAGAAGAAAGAAAAGGTTGTATAACTCGTTTTATACTAATTGAGTTACATACAAAATAAATTTTCCATCAATTACGCAAACCGTTTAGAAATCTATATTCATATTTTATTCGATTTTTCTATTACATTTATTTTGTGCCAAATCATTCCATTATAAATCCTAAAAAAATTATTTGAATTAATATTTAAATAAGTAAAAAATAAATCTTACATTAGCCTTATTTATTGTTTTCACTAAACAATAAGTTAAAAGAATCACCATCGATGTAACAAATGTAACAATCGTAATCGACATTTTAACATTAAAAGTTCCCCATAAATTTCAAAAAAAAAATAAAACGTCACAAGATGACAAATAAATTTATAAACAACTTCAAAAAAAAAATAATGATGTTTGTAATTTTTATTTTACAATTTTTCGCGATTAAAATCCACGGATTATCGAAATCATGCGAAAGCCCAATTTATTGTTCCGGAAAAATTTTAGATTCCATTCAAATGTCGAGAATTTTCCCCGATTCAAAAACCTTCATCGATCTGGCGATGATTAATAATCCGGATTTGATCGTATCAAGTTTTGACAAATCGTTTAAAAGTAACAATTTAAACACCGAAGATTTACAATCGTTTGTAAAAAGAAACTTTTTAATCGCCCACGAAACAAAACCAGCAAACCTAAACAGTTTCAAATCAAAATCGATCATCACACAAAACATCACAAATTTTGAAATGCGAGATTACGCGGAAGATGTGATTCGATCGTTTTTAAAGTTAGGAAGATTCATTTCTGTGGATGTTAGGAATAACCCCGAAAAATATTCAACGATATTTCTCCCAAACGCTTTTATTGTTTTGGAAGAGAATAAAGATGAAATTACTTATTTCGAGTCGTTTTGGATAATCCAAACTTTATTATCCTTGGAGGAGTTTGATATAGCGAGAGGAATGTTGGATAATTTAATTTTTATGGTTAAACAATTTGGGTATATTCCGCTTGGTAACCGAGTTTATTATTTAAATCGGACACATCCGCCTCTTTTAACGAAATCGGCGAGGATGTACGTCGAAAAAACCAAAGACAAAACGTGGTTAAAAAATAACATTAAATACTTAGATGAGGAACTAAATTTTTGGTTAAACACTTTAATCACTATCTACGTTGATTCCATCGATTACATCGTAGCGGTTTATCCACCAGGAGGAGTTGGCCCAAGACCCGAATTTTATTACGAAGACGTTAAAACAGCTTCATCTCTCAAAAACAACACTGAAAAGCAAAAATTATACAAACAATTAAGGAAAGCGTCTCAATCCGGGTTTGAATCACCCTCCCGATGGATTTTTAACAATTCAAAGAAAAAATCGTTAACAAATGTATCGCGAGTAGTCCCAGTTGATTTAAACGCGTTCCTTTACGAGGCATTTAACGATTTATCCAAACTTTATAACCTTTTAAAAATGAACAAACCTGAAAAATATTGGAAAGCTTTCGCTGTCATTCTTAAAGATGCAATTACAAATGTGTTTTACGACAAAATCGATGGTATTTGGTACGATTACGATTTAAAGTTAAAAATTAAAAGGAAAAAATTTTTCGTTAGTGGGTTAACGCCGTTGTGGGCGAAGGCTTATCCGCGCTCTTCGACTGAGGAAAAAAATGTTTATGGGGAAAAAGTTGTTAAATTTTTAAATAAAATAAGGAATACGTCGTCGTTTGATTTCAAATTTATCCCAGCTCCGTATCAAAGTATTATAATCGATGGGTTAAAAGATACGTTAAACGAAAAAGCAGTTATGATGGCTGAAAATTTAGCTAAATCGTGGATGTCGAATATTCAAACTGATAATACTTTGGGAAAAAATGGGGAATTTATTCTTCAAAAAGGAAATGAATTGAAAAATGTGGTCGTTTTGGATTATGTTATTAAGAAATCTTTAGCAGAAAGAAAAGAATTATCTAATTTTGGCAACGCTTTAATAACTTGCGATGTTAAAGTTTTTATTTTTATTTTTCTTGTAATACTTTTTGGATAAAATGTGATTTTGTTTTATAATTTCAGTATGCTTACTTAAATATAGCGACTTATTGTTAGTATATCTTAAGACAGCATAGATGCAATTATTTATTCGATTGTTCAGTTTTTACAATAATAAAACTATATTGTGAANTTTTTCTTGTAATACTTTTTGGATAAAATGTGATTTTGTTTTATAATTTCAGTATGCTTACTTAAATATAGCGACTTATTGTTAGTATATCTTAAGACAGCATAGATGCAATTATTTATTCGATTGTTCAGTTTTTACAATAATAAAAATATATTGCTAAATCTATGTAGATTGTAGCATTCTATTAAAGATATACCAAACACTAATTTCAAGAGCATTGTAAAATCTGTATAGATTATAATTTCAACTCTACCAAGATTTAATATGTAATCTGTGTTCACTCATCATCATCAAGGAACTGTCATCATTA